TGAAACGCAGCCCCCCTAAATACACGACTCTTCAGGGAACTCTGTTCTGACATGAGCGCAAATAATGAAACACTGCTTTTCTACACTCAAGTTCAATGGTTATCGAAAGGAGAGGTTGTATGTCGGGTCTTCGAGCTGAGAGAGGAGATCAAGTTCTTCCTGGAAGTGCAGGAAAAGGACGAGCTCAGCAGGCACTTCTCAAATGATTTGTGGATCCAAAGACTTGCCTATATTATGTCTGATATGTTTGACAACTCAACAAACTCAACTTGAAACTTCAAGGTCAACAGACACACTTTTTACAGTTTAAAGGCCTTCTGAGTGGTTTTCTTTCTAAAGTTGACAATTGGCACCGGAAAGTTAAAGAGGGAAACATTGGTATGTTTACCAACCTTTCACAGCTGTTAAATCCAGAGGAGACATTGTCTGCTGATCTTCAAATTGACATTGCTGCACATTTGAAATCACTTGAGGATGATGAGTTCAAGAACTATTTCCTGACCTTGACTGTGGTGAAGAAGCTTTTGCGAGAAACCCTTTCACTCACTCCTGGACTAGACATCACTGTCATTGTAGATGACATTCAAGACGAGCTTTTGGAATTGAGACATGATTCGTCAGCACGCAACAATTTTCTTGAAAAATCTCTTACACAGTTTTGTTGTTCACTCCAGGAATCATACCCTCAGGTCAGCAAAACAGCACTTCGAGTCATTGTCCCATTTGCCTCGACTTACCTTTGAGAAAGTGGATTTTTTACACGTGTCCAACTCAAGACAAAAGCAAGGAACAAACTGGAAATTGCTGATGATATGTACCTTGCTTTATCCAAGACTTCCACGTGAATTTCAAGACTGGTCGCTGAACTACAGGCACAGCCATCTCACTAGTCTATTTTTCTTTAAATCCGTGTGTGTTGTGTGTGTATGTGTGTGTGTGTGTGTTTGTGTGTGTGTGTTTGTGTGTGTGTGTTCCCTCCATTTTCTCGATTTGTATTTGCTTGAAATAAGAGGGATTTAAAACATCAAAGGTACAGTTATTGTTCTGTATTAACTGTGTAACGTAGGCCTTATTAATTGTCTGCAGCTGGATTGTACGCATTTGGGGGGGGGGGGTTAAAAGAGTTTGTTTATTACTTTATTTAGGGGTTTGGGTTGGAGGGGTCGTTACACTTGCCAAACAATCAAAAGGGGGTCGCGGATTGAAAAAGGTTGAGAACCACTGGTCTAGACTTTGGAGAGATCCGAAGAAAATATTATAAATGCAAGAAATTGCAAGACATTTTTTCCGTCCTTGGTCCCAACAGAATTTTGAATTTTATGAAGGCCATTGGCCTTTACGGCAAATTATATAAAGTAAAACCGTACTATTAAATTTTTTTATTGTTATTTATTAGAGTTGTTTTACAACATCTCACTGCGCACCAAGATTCGACTTTTTAACTCCAACGTCAAGTCTGTGCTCCTCTACGGCTGCGAAACTTGGAAGACAACGAAGACAGTAGGCTACTGAAAAAGGTCCAGACTTTTATCTACAGATGTATGAGGAGTATTTTAAGAATTAAGTGGCAGGAAAGAATAAGAAATGAAGAGCTGTGGGAAAGGACAGGACAAAAGGATGTAGAAGTAGAAATAGGACTAAGAAAGTGGCGATGGATGGGACACACCAGCGGAAACATCACAAGACAGTCACATGACTGCAGTGGAACCCACAGGGAGCATGAGGCAGGGGTAGGCCACGGGAAACGGAGGAGATGCGTGGAAAGGGACATGAGTGAGAGAAATGAAGCTCACTTGGAACGAGCTTGGAAGGATGGCTCAGGACAGAGATAAATGGAAGGAGCTGTATGTGGCCTATACCCTGCCAGGGGTGAAAGGCATTGATGATGATGATTAGAGTTGTTTTAAATTTAAAATATATTTACACCGAATTTTAATATTTAAGCATTTTAAAGTCTAAAAGCTAACCAACCGTGCAGTGACGAATGCAAACAACTTGTGTTTCGCGCGCTCATATGACCTTATGCAGTTGCCAGCGCCGTAACGCCCTATACTACTACTACTACCCCCACAACGTGGTCCAGCCCTATAAGATTCTATAAAAAGAAACACCACAGCTCGCCAGTTTAGACCATAGTAGACGGCCATATTTACTCCCTACCTCGGCGTGCTGCTCGTGGCGCTGCGAAGAGAGAGAGTAGGCTCCTTTTTCTAAGCTCCTAGCTGTTAACCTAGCATCTGCGTTTGTTGCCAATTTTTTGTCCAAAAGTTGCTACAAAAAATGGGAAAAGTTGCCAAAAAAGTTGCCATTAATTTTTAAACTTTCAACTCTCTGTGACGACGTACATAGCAATATGTTGATAGAGATAACTTAATCTAAAATGAAAGAATTTGTCTTCTGTTTTTAGCATCCAGAATATCATTTGTAGTCACACTTAGTGTAAAAACGTGAAAAATAAAGGTTTCACAACAGAATGAAATTACAATTAGAACAGCAAATAAACAACTACAAAAATTGACAGATAAGGGCGTGTGTCAACCCATCCCTAGACTGGCCGTTTTAACCCAAAACGCGTGTAACTCAAGAAAAAGTACAGAATCTAATATATATGTAGATCATGTAATCACACACAAGGGGCCTGCCAGTGTCAGTATTCGGTTTTGGTGGAGACACACTCTAATATAACACATAAAAAAGTAGGAACAACATTACGCTATATAGATATATCTAAACACAAAAATAGAAAAACAGCATTTAAGAACAAAAACGAGGAAAAAAATACACACCAACAAATTAAACACAACAAAAAGGGAAACATGAAAGGGAAACAGCAATATATATAGTATGTAATGGAGCCTACTTATATTCTTCACATGAAAATTACAAATCAACATGGTGTTAACAAGTGAGAAAGAGACGAAGTGGAGTGAAAGTGAAAATAAACTTTCTTTCTAAAAGTAAGGAGTTTGGTTTCTTTTTCTTCTCGAATATTTCTCCCCGTTTTTATTGTTGTTGTTGTTGTTGTTGCTGTTGTTGTTGTTGTTGTTGTTATTGTTGTTGTTGTTGTCGTCGTTTTACAATTATTTTTCCTTCCCGGCGGTGTTTTTTGGTTAGAAAAATGCAAAAATCGCGGCCGCGGTTCGCGGACCAAAAAGTGCCCAAAATCGCGGCCGCGAGACTAACACAGATGGTGGCATAGTTGAATGTCTGGTGTTAGGTGAGGCTAGT